TCATAACAATTTCTCTTACAATTCCAAAAAGCATTAGATCTTAGGTGGATGAATACACATCTACCTAAGATGTGTGAAAGTAGCAATAAAATCTTTGAAAAAAAGAAATGAGTGAAGATTTGCTCTTCTATTGTAATGCATTAAAAAGGCAATGACAATTAAAACAGAATGGCACTGGCAGCAAGATAGAAATCTCAGTGGAATAGAATACAAAGTTCAGACTCTGTCTAAAATATATATATGAATGTATATGAGAAAAACCAATGGCAAAGGGATAGTGTTTTGCAATAAGTATTGGGAAGCATGGACTGTTGTTGAGGGAGGGAGGGTTAGATTTTCAAATCATTCACTAAAATAGTATGTAGAAAAATTTAAAGATAATGAAAGAACAAAGAAAAAGACAAACAACTTAAAAGCGAGAGAAAATATGAGTGGATATTATTGGACCCGTGAGTGTGGAAGAACTTAACCTTGAAACAATAGAGGAAATTCAAGGATTTGACCACATAATTTACTTTGTCAAATTTATTTGCAAAAAATATAAAAGACTGGGTGCCTGGGTGGCTCAGATGGTTAAGCATCTGCCTTCGGCTCAGGTCATGATCCCAGGGTCCTGGGATCGAGTCCCGCATCGGGCTCCCTGCTCCTTGGGAGCCTGCTTCTCCCTCTGCCTCTCTCTCTCTCTGTCTCTCATGAATAAATAAATAAAATCTTTAAAAAAAAATATAAAAGACAAAGTGTTACTCATTTTTTTAAAAAAAGATATTTATTTATTTATTTATTTGAGAGAGAGAGCGTGAGCAGGGGGAGAGGTGGAGCCAGAGGGAGAAGCAGACTCCCCGCTGAGCAGGGAGCCGGATAATGCGGGGCTTGATCTTAGGACCCTGAGACCATGACCTGAGCCGAAGGCAGACACTTAACTGACTGAGCCACCCAGGCACCCAAGACAAAGTGTTATTCTTTTTTTTTTTTTAAAGATTTTATTTATTTATTCATGAAAGAGAGAGAGAGAGAGAGAGAGAGAGAGGCAGAGGGAGAAGCAGGCTCCCAAGGAGCAGGGAGCCCGATGCGGGACTCGATCCCAGGACCCTGGGATCATGACCTGAGCCGAAGGCAGACGCTTAACCATCTGAGCCACCCAGGCGCCCGACAAAGTGTTATTCTTAACATAGAAAGCATTAATATAAATTAATAGGAAATTAAGGCTTCAAAGAAAAATGAGCATGGACGATAGACAATCCAGAGAACAGACAATTCAGTAAAAGGAAATATAAATGACTAATAACTGAAAAAATGTTCAATCTCATTGGCAATCAGAGGAATGCAAAAGAAACAAGGATGTACAAGCTTTTGCTTTCGGCCAAGATTTCTATGGTGATAATACTCATTACTGCTTAGTGTGTGTTGAGATAGCTCTCATATTAACCCTATGAGTCGACTTCTGTTATTAGGCCCATTGTATAGATGTGGAAACTGAGACTCAGTGGAGTTTAGTGATTTTCCTAAGTTTATAATGCTGGGGAGTGGTGGCATTAGAATCTGAACCTGGGTTGTATGACTCTATTATGGTGAGGGGCCTAGAAAACAGATGCTGGAAAGGAGAGGTAAAGAACAGGAAGAAATGTAGCCTGAAGAGCCAGGCAAAGATATTTGAAGTACTTATGTGGAAGGGCGAATGGACTTTTATGGTACTGCAGAGAGAAGCAACAAGTGGAAATTACACAAAGGAGCATTTTTTTTTTTATGGCAAGAACTATCCCTAATGGACTAGAGAGGCCCAGGAAGGCATGAGCACACCCAGCCCTAGGGAGACAGAGGAAGCCAGAGGGTCCTCTGACTAACCCTCATGGCAGGCTGCAGGGGATGGGGGTGTTGGTGGTCTCATTTTTTGAGGAGGAAACACCCCTGGGTGGTCAATACTTTAGTGTCTTCAGAGTTTTCTGCTCTTTTCTCAACCACAGATAGCTAAAAGACCCTGCCCCTTCCTCCTAGGGCCAAGTGACCTGCAGGGGAGCCCTGCCTGGCTTCACTGCCCTCCTATGGCTGCAATGCCAGGCCAGCAGGAAGCCTGAGCTTGCCAAACTGCGTGGGCCAGGGCAGGAGGAAGGAGAGCGGGAGTAGCCCATCTGAGTTCTCTTTTGCCCTTTCCTGCAGCCTTGCTACTCCATGGGGGAGGTGGGGGGGAGGGGGGAGGAGGGAGCCGCCTAGTCGCCTAGTCACGTTAGAGAACTAGGAAGCAGATGAAATGGAACCATTAAAGAAGAGTGACTAATATATGTTAGTTGCAGTTTGGTAAGGATGTCTTCATTTGCACAGCCCTTGGGAAATCCGTTCTTAAAGTTGGGGCTTCATCCTGAGTGCAATCCTGGTTAAGTCAGTTAACATTTTTTATATCTCAATTTCTTCATCTGTGAAGGTATGACAACATTTCCTGCTTTATCAACCCCAAATGATGTAGTGCCTATACGACCAACAAGCTAGTGTGAGAGCAGAGAGCCACAGGCAGTAATCACTCAGACTTAAGTCCATTCTCTGCGATTTGCCAGTTAGAAACTTGGAGAAAGTCACCCAAGCTCTCTCCACTTTAGTTTCTTCATCAGTGAAAATGAGGATAGCAATAGCACTTGCCTTAAATGTTTGTCTTTAGGGGTCAATGAAACAATACATGTAAACGGTAGAACCAGGACTCCAAAGGCCATCACAGTTGACTCACAACCATAACGCATACAAATCAACAGCAGAGTGTAGGGAAAAGTTTCGATAGAAACACAACAAACTGTTAACAGTGTTTATTTCTGGATGGTGAGGTTATGATCTATTTGTTTTTCCTTTATATTTTTCTGTATTTTCCAAGTTACTTTTATAATCAAAAGAAAAGCTGTGTATGATATTCACATGCCTTGAGATCATTTGTGATGGTCTCCACTGCATTAAAATCTTTGACCATATTTTCTCACACAATCTTTTCAGCCACTGCTTGAAGTAGGCATCATTATCCCTATTTTCTAGATGAGGAAATGAGGCTGGTAGAGATTAGAGAACTGGTTTAATCTTCAGGTCTTATTGCTGCTAAGTGGCAGACAGCCACGGTCCATAGGCCCAGATCTGGCCGTCTCAAAGATAGGTGCCATGCACAGGCCTGTTGGACCGTGGGGCTCAGTGCCCAGGACCCCTACACCCCAGTTTTCAGAAAGCAGGGGCAAGGTGGCAGGCTGTCAGATTGGGCCTGTGGTGGGTGTGTACCCCTCGATCCCCAGTGACTGGTTCCCTCCATCCATATTCTGCTGGAGAACATGGCCAGCAGAATTGGGATTTTTCCTCTCTCACTGCACAGGAAGTCAAGGGGGGTACTGCAGAGAATCTTCCCAAGAAGAAACACAGGTTGCCACCATAAAGGTATCCAATAGAGGAACTAAAAATAATAGGATAACCACACAAGATGGAGGGAGGGAAGTGGGTGTGAGACATACCATCTATCATAGCAGGAAGGCAATAGATAATGGCCGTCCTGCTAAATCCATCTATGTAAGCATTTTAGGTAGAGAGATGGAGGTACCCACCAGGCTTGAAAACACCAATGGCCATAAGTGGATTTTCTTTGGATCCAGGGATGAGAGAGAGACTTTTGCTTTTCATCATAAGTGCTTCTGTCCTATTTGATTTTTTTTTTTAGCTGTATGTGTTATATTTTATTTAAAAATTATGATTTTAAAAGTACAGGCTATGGGGTCATCTGCGTGGATTCCCGTACCACCTTTGCCAATTTTGGATCTTGGGCAGTTTAGCCTCTCTAAGCTGCAATTTAATCTTCCGGAAAACAGGAATAAAAATCACACTCACCCAGAGGGTTGCTCTGAGGATAAAGTGAGGTAATGTATATAAAGTACATGGACCAGCACTGGCCGAAATTCAGCATCTATAATTACTAAACATTGCTATCATTATTAATAATAAACCAAGCATTCAAATAAGACCCTGTGCTTTGCAGACAGGCACATAGTAGGCACTTAATGGGTGGAAGGGATTGTTTCAAACCCTCTCTCCTGAGCCTATAATTTCCGCCAACCAGTGACGCAGGAGTCCCAGCTTAAATGTTGATGTGGTTACTTATTTATTCATCACCCGGTTCTCCACCTCAGTGTCCGCTGAGGGCGAGCCCAGCCCTCCGGCCTCCCGCGGCCGCGATCTCACCGCATCATTGGGACCCTGAAGCGCGCGGAGGTTGGAAGAGGCGGCAGCTCACCGGCTTCCAGCTCGCTGATGCGGGACTGTCACGTGCCGGAGGGGGACTCAGTTCTGGTTTCACGCAGCATCTTCCCGGGCAGGGGCGGCCTGGAGGACCCGGAGCGCGGCTCGAAATGAGGGGGGTAGCGGGGCCCCATCCCACACCCACTTGCCAGCGCCAAGGGGATGGCCATCCCAGGAGGGGCGGGCCAGGACAATTTTAGGGCAGGGCTTTCGGAGCAGGGACATCTCGAAACAAGATTTGGGATTGGCCAGGAGACGCGGAGCGGGCTTTTCATACCCGGCAGAGAGTGCCGAGCTCCCGCAAGCGAGGCGGGGTTCTGCGGGCGCCCCCAGCCCGGGGCGGGGCCAACGCCGGAGCCCCGCCCATTCCTTTGCGGAGGCCGCACGCCCCACCCCTTGGTCCCGGTCGCCCTCTCCAGCTGCAGGCGGGTGTGCGGAGGCGGGTGCCGGGGCGCGACAGCTAGCGCCCCCGCCGCACTGCTGCACCGCCTCGCGGGGCTGGGTCGCGGGGCGGGACAGGGCTGGAGGCGGGGCGCTGACGTCGCGGCGCGGCCGGTGGCCGGGGAGGCGGGGAGGTGGCTGCCAGCTCGGCCCTGCCCAGCCCGCAGCTGCGGCGGCCCGGTGGCGGCGGCGGCGGCGGCGGCGGCGCTCGGAGCCGGCTCCTGACCGCCCTCCGCCGCTGCCCGGCTCCTCTCACGGTCCCCGTGTCTGTGCCCGCGTCTGCCGGCTCGTCCGCCGCCGCCTCCTCCGCCATGGCCCTGGTGCGGGGCGCCGAGCCCGCGGCGGGGCCCTCCCGCTGGCTACCCACGCACGTCCAGGTGACTGTGCTGCGGGCCCGCGGGCTGCGGGGCAAGAGCTCGGGAGCGGGCAGCACCAGCGACGCGTACACGGTGATCCAGGTGGGCCGCGAGAAGTACAGCACGTCGGTGGTGGAGAAGACGCCGGGCTGCCCGGAGTGGCGCGAGGAGTGCTCTTTCGAGCTGCCGCCCGGTGCCCTGGACGGCCTGCTGCGGGCGCAGGAGGCCGATGCGGGCCCGGCTCCCTGGGCCGCGGGCTCCGCCGCCGCCTGCCAGCTGGTGCTCACCACCATGCACCGCTCGCTCATCGGCGTTGACAAGTTCCTGGGCCAGGCCACGGTGGCGCTGGACGAGGTCTTCGGCGCAGGCCGCGCCCAGCATACGCAGTGAGTGAGGGGCGCCGAGGGCGCGGAAACGGTTAAAGGAGAGCTCGCTGGGCGGGGCTGGCGGGGGAGCGGGACCCCGAACCTCTGGCTGGGGCGGTGCGCCCTTTGCCGCGAGCTCAAGGGCGTAAACCGACCAGTTGCTCTTTTGCATTTTGGGTCCCCTTCTGATCCCCTTCCTTGCGACGGTCTGTGCTTGGTTGCTGGTGTGTCCTTGAGAAGCCTAGGGGGAGGTATGATTGGTGGCCTAGCTTTAGGAGTAGATTGCCAAGTAAAGTTAGGAGTGGGATCCAGAGGCCCTTGGACTGTGGAAACCTCAAGAAGGAAAATTTTGGGGCCATTCTTAGGGCCTCCGGGCCTGTCTCCCTTTCCTGGAAGGGGAGGGGCGCTGCAGCCGCCTGCCCCAAGATGGGCCGCAGGGGAGTGGGGGAAGGAAGGTGCAGTGTTCTACTTGAGGGCGAGATTGACGGGAGATGCCCCACCAAATCTGGAGACTGCAGAGAGCATCTGCTTCTTGCCTGGTATTTGGATGCCCTCTGCCACCTAGAGACAGACGTCTCTGGAACCCTGCCCCTCTGTGTCCCTGTTCTGAAAGCAGGAGAGCCTCCTAACTAAAGGAAGGAAACCCTTCAGTCAGCCTTCAAGTGTCCTGCCTGTCCTGCTTGAGGTGAAGGCAGCATCATGGTTAATGCACAGCAGGGGATAATCTCCCAGCCACTTCCACCTAGAAGGGCTGGTGTGTTTTTTAATCATTTATCTTGGCAGTGTTTAGCCTTCCCGGTGTTAAGATCAAGGCTTCAGACTTGGAACCCCATTTCCTGTTTGGACTTGGGCAGGATCTGAAAGCCAGTCCCCAGGGCTGACCACCTGCTGTGGATCATTTAAGGGGTTAACTGGGGTGACACCTCCCCTGGACCCAGTGGGCCCAGGATGGGAAGGGTAAGGGGATGGGGCAAGGGCATGCCCTAGGTGGGGACAGGTGCTGGAAAGGTTTGTCCGTGTGGAGTGGCATCTGAATAAATCTAGGAAGGCTTGTTGGAGGAGAAGGGTGAGCCTGGTGCAGACCTATAAGAGAGCAGGATTTGGTTAGAAAGGATCTGACCTTGAACATTTTTCAAAACATGTGTAGAAAAGGGCCTTGGTGGCTCTGCGGCCTGGAGTGAGAAGCTGGTTAGCGCAGGGCAGGTTCCAGGCAGGGCTGTGACCTGGCTCCATCTCCCCCTCCCCTGGCCTTCTCCTCTCCTCGTTTCCTGACTTGCTGTTTGGTTGCTGGGTGTGGAATCCTGTGGTATAGTTTGGCCCTTGTTTTGTTTTTTTCCCCTCCCCTTTTCTGTCCTCTCCTTCCTTTCTGGCTGAGGGAAGCCAAGGGGCTGGGGGTGGGGCAGAAAGCTCTCCTCTGGGTCTCTTAGCCCTTTCTTTTCCCAGAGCGGCTCCTGTCCCCAAATTCATCCCACCCCTTTCCTTCCTAGTCCTTCAGTCTCCACCACTCAGCCAATCTGCCCAGACTGGTAGATGACACCCCTGGTGGCTGAGGGAGGGGGAAGACAGAGTCTCTAGGCTTGCGGGGAAAGGCCTCTGTGAAGTCAGTGACTTGGGGCGGGGGGGGGAGCTCTGATTTTTTTTTCAGTTTCTGCCCTTGCTTTCTTCTTGGCCTTTGGATCTTCCTTAGTTGAACTGTCAGTGCTTGTAGGCCCAGGTGGGCCTATTTTCAGCCAAGGACAGTCCCTCTTGGAGAATTTGACTTGCCACCCCTTGATTTGAAGGGGGGGGCTTAATTTACTTTATGGAAGTCATCTTTCCCACCAGGATGTTTCCGCACCTACCCGCTACTTTCCTCTGTTTCATTGCCCTGGGTAATTTCTAGAACCTGGTGGGGGCAGGAGAGGAGAGGGGCACTCCTGGTGGGCAGAGGAAAAGTCCGTGAAATCTGCCTGATCTTTCAGGACCTCACAGTGTACCTACTGGCAGAGGGTGGGGGCTGCTGCTCCCACATGGGTCCCCACCTCCCGCCTCTGATTTTAATGGCCACTCCTGGTGATATTTCCTGGGAGCACCCTGGCGTGAGCTACTAAGATAGTGAGTCTGCACATTACTAGTGGAGAGAGGGCAAGGTGGAGAGGACCAGGGTGTACCCTCCTCAGCTTTGGATAATGGTGGGAAAGAGCAGTATTCACTCTAATGCCAGGAGCCAGCTGTGGTGGTGGTCTCTGGGAAGACAGATGGCAGCCCTGTGTCGCCAAGACAGAACCTGAAGGGCAGCTTCATGGTTACGAGGAGGGGACTGTGGAGTTGCAAGAAATAGGTTCCAGTCTCAAACTTGCCACCTTGTGGTGAGTCAAGTAAACTCTTGGTGCCTCAGTTTTCTCATCTGTCAAATGGGGCTAGTGTTACAAGATTGATGTAAGGCCTGAAATGAGAATGCAGTTAAAGCACCTAGGCATGGCCGCTGGTCACTGAATAGCAGTGAGAGCAGAGGGAGGTTTTGGTAACAGTGTCTGGTAGCTCTGGTCAGGAAGATGTCCCCTACCCTTGAAGAGCCTCTCATGTGATGGGGGGGCGGGGGGAGACAATACAGAACTTAGAGCCTGAGTCTGGGAAAGCCCCAGGACTGTGGGTGGCAAAGTACATACAGGAGTAGGAGAGCTCCTGACGAAACAGGCCGGCCCTTTGCAGGCCTCCCTTCTCTTGGCTGCTAGAGGTTTGAGAGCTAGGGCTGGGCTTGGGAGGCCTCTCAGTACTCAAGCCAGGCTTGGGTCAGCTTGCAGCCCTCCCCAGCAGCCTGGGCTGGAGCTGCCCCTGCCCTCTCGGGAACGCAGGACCGCCCAGTGTCTCTGAAAGTGGAGATGGCTTTCATTCCCAGTTATGTGACTTACTAGCAGGCAAGTTACTTAACCTGTTTCCTCCTTTCTACAAAGGCCACAATAATAATTATGGAATTATAAGATTAAATAAGACCGTGTCTGTAAAGGCCTTAGTATAGTTCCAGACCTAGAGCAAGCCTTCAAAGTGTGGGTGCTGTGGTTACTCTGAGGACCCTGCTTTGCGCGATGATGGTGGTGGGGTGGAGGGTGCGAGGCACTTCAACAGCCCCTGATACTCCTTTGTCAAGGGGTGCTCTTTGAGGTGAGGGATTTCACCAGAGGCTTCCAAATAACTGAAGAGGAAATTCTCAAAACAAAACTTAACATAATACATGAGGAAGCTCATTATAACCCGTCTCCCCTCAGTTAAGCCGTATATGGATCATCATGGGTCTGAAAATCCCAAGATGCTTCTCCACTATTTCCTTTCTGGTTTTTATCTCCAGTAGTACCCTTGGTGGGTACTTTGTGTGGAGGGGGTGTTATGTGTGGGTAAAAGAGTCCCTGCTGTAAAGAACCCCCATCCTGGGCCCATCAGATTGATGCTTAGAGCCCTCGGGAAGCCTGAGTCTGGGCTTAATTTGGATCGGGACCAGTTTGTCTTTTGCCATCCCAAAGAGTAAAGCTGTCGGGCAGGCGGCTAACTGTGGCATCCTGAGAGGCTTTGTCGACCCCGATCACAGCTGTGCCATTGATTTTATGGAGGGCTTCCAGGAGGCCTGTGGCCCAGGACCACTGAGGTTTGAGACTGTAGTCTTCTGCCTGACTCATCATGGTGGCCTGAGATCCCCTGGAGGGTGTTGGGTTTGGGGGCACTGGGAGAGGCACCTGAGGGAAAATGCGGCCTCCTGGCTTAAGTTTCGGATGGTTTTTGAGGGTTTCCATTCATCTCTCAGCCTCCAGACAGTGTGCACATTCCGTGCATGTGACTCCACACCCTCTCTCCACTGGTTTCCAGATGTGACTGCTCCTCAGGAAGCAGCTGAGGCTCTAAGGGTCCTTGGTCCAACCCTAAGGTTCGGCTCCGGCTCCAACCCCAGACCTGTGGGGCTGCTGGCGAAGTCTGCTTTGGCTGTGTGTGTTGGGGTGGGGGGGGGGGGGGTGTGGCCGTATTTAAAAGTCAGTCATTAGGATGCAGGAGGCTCCAGCTGCCTTAGTTATGAGGTAGTTTTTATTTGGGGTTGCTTGAGCAGCAGTGGCTGGGGGAGAGGGGAGGGGTAGGAAGTGACTCCTCCGTCAGACAGGGCGGCTCCTGGTTGGCACAGCAGCTTCGTCTTCCCTCTGCATCTTTCCCTGGTGGGAACCCCATCTCTGCCCTAGTCTCCTCTCCCTGTAGCCAGCAGGGAATAGGCCTACCTCAGCAGATCCTGCCCCAGGCGACCATGAGGGCTGTCCTTTCCTCTGATGGGGGCTGCCTGCTCCACTTGTTATTGCTGCTTCCCAGGTGCTGTGACGCTCTTGCCGATGCCAAATGACTAGTCTGGCCTTGTCCAGATGTTTCCCCTGCCCTTCCCACCCTGCGCTGGGACAGATAATTAACACAATGACAGGAGCTCTCTGTGCTCTCTGGGAATCAGGATCTATTTTTTCCTTGTACGCGGCCAGTCCTCTGCAAAATGGTATCGTCATGAAGAAGCTTTGCCCTTTACCACGGCCAAGTAAAAAAAAAAAAAAAAGTCCACACTGTGGGTCCTTTATACACCTGGCAGTCCTGCCAGGGAAAGAGTCTAATGGCTTTGCTCTTCCTGAGCTGGCCAAGAACCCCTTAGGTTATTTCTTCCCTCAGGAAGGATGGCAGCCAGTGAGGGGAGCTGAGCGTGGCAGATCGGGCTGAGGCCTGGCTGTGGGGCTGGGCCCAGGCCTCTCCCTAGTGAGCGGTAAGCAAGCCGGGACTCAAGCAGGGACTCCGCAAGAACCAGAGGAGCTGCCCAGGGGAGGGGCTTTGTCACAGGCCACCTCGACCTTCAGCTGTCCCAGGGGTTGGGGTGGGGGTTGGTGGAGGGGGTAGCACAGCCCTTGCTCTTGGAATTCTAATGTCAGAGCTAGCAGAGAACTTAGCCCTGTGGGGACTGAGGCTGGAGAGGGGTGGGGCTCTGTGTGGTCTCTGTTAGGCCCTGGCAGCCCACAACGCTGTAGGATTTA